AAAACGAAAGTAAGTAAGTAAAAGTAAATAAAAGTAAAAATATAACTAAGTACACTAATATATATTATATATATATATATATATATATATATATATATATATATATACACACACTATACAAACACAGCCTTACAATGTAACTAGTTAGTAAGGATTACTCTCCCTAAAGAAGTGACCAGTTAATAATTTGAACATATTCAGATAAGTAGGATTCTTTTCCAGGTATTACATAAACCAGCATTTCAACTTCTTCCCCTTATTTCTATATTTTTCTCAAGTAGATAATGTTTAAAAGCACAGAACAAACTATATAATTTTAAAATCTTCATACTATTTTCCAGTGTCTTTGTAGGAATTATTTAGCATTCTTATGAATATTCTGTTTTCATCTTTTGAAATAAAGATATACATTGAAAAAAACCTTTAAAGTTAAAATGTTTGCACAAATAAGTTCAAACTATCTACATGTAAAACTAAGACTATTACAATATCACCTTATGCAATCAGTTAATTTGTCAAACTAATTTAAATTTACAGTTTGTACTTTTCACAAAACCTGAAGTTTTAAACATACCATACAATTTTTGTTTATATTTTTTTGATAAAAAAAGTTATTAGGGATATCTAGCTTTCCAGTTATAAGTAGTAGTTCATTTTTGATGCTCAATTGGCACTGATTATGTGGCTAAAAACAGCAGTACCCAGCTGGTATAGTACAAATTCCACTGTATGTATTTTGTACTACTCTTTCAGCATCAGAACTTAACCACACTCTTGAAATGAAAAACTGTACTAACAAATATAATAACAATTATTAGAGAAATCTCTCTACAACTAAGTGACAATAATGAAATTTCCATTGACCTGGTTATGCTGATAAAAGCCTTCATAGACCAAAACTGTAATTCTCAGCTAGTTGTATGAAGAACAAATTTTATTTCTTAATGTTAGATTTTATGTTTTATAGTATGACAAAAAATAAACTTTCAATAACAAATGTTTTCAAAATATCTACCAAATGCTTGCTTGCAATACAATGTACCAAGCAAACAGATTAAAAATAAAGTTGTCAGCCATGGGCTTCTCTGCCTCAGCTGTAGAAAACTGTATACACTTAACAGGCAATGTGTTTCATTCTTTCACGGTTTGTTGTAATGTACAATCACAACACCAATTTTGAAGTTCTAGAAGTACTATATTTTATGCATTAGCAATTATGCACCTGAAGGTAAAATGCAGAAAATTTAGGAATTATTGTCCTTAATACTGAATACAACAATCATTTTTATTACACATGCTAGTTATCTTTCAACATTCTTTGATATCTAGTAACTTTTTGAAATTAACCATTTTGAAAATTGGTTCTTAAACTAAGAATGTTAATTTATGCATTATTTTTAAAACTTTTAAAACATATACATGTATATAGACAGTCTTGAGTTACAGCCCATAAAGGTCATGATTTGGGGGCAAGCCAGAGGGTCTGGTATGTTGTAGGCAGTTTTGGGGCACTAATTATTCACATTATCTACCACTATGATAATTAATAAACACTGGATTTTGCCAACTTTTGTCACTAACTCATGCTTTAATGATCAAAATTACAAACCAATTAATCTCTGCCCAGCAACATTTACTGCATGCATGTCATTAGGTTTTAGTGACTTACATTAAAAATTTTATTAAATTACTTTTTGTT